AAAAAAAAAAAAAAAAAAGGAAAGAACACTAAACTTATTTTTGGAAAATGTATCTAACAGTTTGATTAGATGATGAACAATCCTGCATGAGAATCAGGACATTTTTTTTACTCAGTTTTTTTCCAATTAAAATATTAATCGTTCCTTTTCTCTTTCGTTTGTCAGACATAGAGTGGTTCTAATTTTTTTGCCTTTAGGAAAAAGATCGTCGCTACGATTTATTATTACAAAAATTCAAGAGGATACGTAAATGTATACTACAGCGAAAAAATGGCGAAACAGACGAAGACGTTTTTTCCTCATTTGGTGGTTCTGATTGCTCCTGGGACAGCACAATTTCATTGAACACAATTGCTGAAGACTTACGAGAGGTAACTGCTGCTTAACTGTGCCCTGTTCTTAACAATTATTATTGCTAATTCTATTTCCTTTCTATAATTTTTAAAAATCTTCAAATGTTGCTTGTTGTCTTTTATATTTGTTGTCAACGGCAACATTATTTCGGCACTTCTTTTTCTTTTCTTTTTGCAAATTTACTCGTCGTCTTTATAATGTAAGCGGCAGAAAAGCTTCATCATCATCATCATCGTAGTTAGCCTTTTGATGTTCAGTCCTATTTTGAATTGAAACCTAATTAATGGGTACCTGGGGTTCTGATTTTATTATGCTGTTGTTGTCATAGTTGCTAAAAAGTGGCAGAAATAGAATTGGGGGAATACCGTTATAGTTCAATATACAGTTTGTATTGATCTCGCAATCCAATAAAGGGAAAGGAGAAAAATATTGCTGATTTGAGGTGTTGTTTCTTTGCTTTACATGAACTCTGATTAGATTTTACTGTTACTAGCGACTTGGATGTTTCATGCGTTTGGTTTAAGCTACAAATATTATCGTTGTTGACCATTTCTCCAATTTCAATAAGTATCTTTTGCTTGTCTTGGAAAGGAAACTTTTTTTACCATTACGATGAAAGGATTGAATTCTTCAGACAGGGAATATGTTTTAACAGACGAACAGATTGCGAAAAGTAAGAAAAAAAATATGAAAAAAATTAATGGATGAACGTTGATGAGCAAAAAAAAAGAAATTGGTAAACTTATAATTTAATGATTAATTTTATAAAATTAGTCGTAATTTTCTAAGCACTTATTTTTCTTCTGACTTCGAAACTTTTAACATTTATTTTTGTGTATCATCTCTTATTGATCTTGTCGTTTCTGATCATAGCTGTTAACTTGATATTGTCGTTAACATTCTATTATTTCGGTGATGATAAATGGACGTCAAAAAAATCTTAGGAATTTATGAATGTTCTTTTCTTTTTTTTTAAATTATAAATTGAGAGAGAAAAAAATTTTTTAAACGTTTTTTTCTCAGTTTTTTTGAAAGGTAGTTGAAAACTGAAGTAGACAATGATTTAGTAATATTGTGACTGACACTGTTTTAATGTCTCATATTCTTTTATTTTTTTGTTTTTCTATCCAAATGCACTGCTTATACGATTGGTATTCCAGCATATAAAATGCTTCAAGCATTAGCTGTAGAGTCCTCTTAGGCCGGAAACAGGCTTAAACTAGGTTAAAAACTTTCTGAAGTTATTGCATTAGTTTTAATAACTGGGCGACGATCAGTCTGTATTCATAGCCGGCTATTACCATTCATTTAGTAACTGGAATTTTCAGCTATTTTTTGGTTGTTCTATGATTCTCAAGCTGACTATAAATATGAGGCTGAAAGATATACTATCAATTTCGGCTACATTTTACATATTTCTGAGCTTTCACATACTGAGCTTGACAGTTTCGCTTTTACTCAGCCAATATAGAAATTTAACTGTTTCTATTTTTCTAACAATATAATCAGCTAACCTGTTTTGAACTTAAAACTTTATACTGTTACACAAAGAACAGTTTTTTTCTAATTTATAAATGAATTTTAGTATTTGCTATGAAACAACAAAATAAGACTCTTTATAGGATTAGTTCTGGTTTTTCTTTTTTTAGTTGGTTTGCAAAAAAGAAACTGAGAAACCGAAGATCATGAATTGAGTGTAATACTGAAAATTTTTCAACTAGTTTTTTTCTTTTGTTTGAATCGTAATTTTTATCTCTGCGTTTCTTCTATAAATGATGGTGGATTTTTTTTTGCAGACTTACGTATAAGTTAAAAGGATTAAAAAAGATTAGCGAAAAAAGAACTATAAAAAACTTGTTGTTAAAATCAACTGATTTTCGTTTTGTTCAGTTGAATGATTTTTACAGTTATTGCAACAGTGATATTTGTTTAATTGTATCAGTCTTTTTTTTTTCAGTTTAAATTTTCCTCCGTTTTTCGCCATATACCTATGGTTCTTCTAAACCTTTATGGTCAACCTCTGTTATTTTTGTTGTTTTTTTTTTTGTATTTTGTAAGTAACCTTATTTTTTAGCAACATTTTTTTCTTTTTTATTTATAGCCTCTGAACAAAATTGCCGAAAATGCAACCGACAATTTGTGTATAACACCGGACGATAATCATAATATACCATATTTACAAAAAATTTCAACGACACCAAACGAAAACAGTCAATTTTGTTTGAACGATAAATCTTACCTTCAGTGTTCCGACGATTCATCGCGACGAAGCCCACAAGTTCGCCAAAAAAATATTCTAATTTTAGATTTTTGTTCAACTTTTAAATGTTCAATATTTTGAAAATAATCTTATTCAGTTGTATAAATTGCCTATTTTTAAAAAGGAAAAAAGTAATCTCTGTTTTTTTTTTCAGATATGAAACCTGATATTGATAGGTTGTTTTAAACTAGTTGAACAGGTTCAGAAAAAAGAAGTAAAAGAAAAAAAAAGAATGGATGAAACAAGGAACTTTTTCCAACCGTAATATCGTTTGTTAACTTCAGTGCGAAACCGCGATGTATTCCTTTGAAACCGTACAACGACTACAGAATCAAATTATTTCAATGCAGGAGAAGATCGATCTTCTACAGGCTGAACTAACTGATGCTAAAGATACCAATGAACTTTTGGAATTCCAGTTACTTGAAAACAATGAGGATACTAAGCATAAATTTGAAGTAATTGACAGCCTACCGATAGTTGTTGGCCACTTTTTTTTTCTTTTTTTTTTTCATGTTTTGTTTTAATAATTATTTGATATTTAAGGCAGAAAATTAGATGTGGAAATTTAGGAACTGGTGAAAAAACGCGAACAACTGGATAAAGGAATTCGAACTGAAGATTCGGTAAGCGATGTGGATGTTGAGGCTGCAAAACAGTATGCTTCCACTATGGTTTGTTCTGCTCGTTGCCATCTTTGGTTCAGCCTGTCA